CCCCAGTGGACGAGAGGGTCGCCTCCCTACGCCTGCGGGTTATGGGGGGGAAAACTCTGACTGTTGCGTGTGCTTATGCACCAAACAGCAGTTCAGAGTATACAGCCTTCTTGGAGACCCTGGAAAGAGTCCTGTATGGGGCTCCTGAAGGGGACTCTTTAATCTTGCTGGGAGACTTCAACACACATGTGGGCAATGATGGAGACACTTGGAGGGGCGTGATTGGGAGGAACGGCCCCCCTGATCTGAACCGGAGTGGTGGTTTGTTACTGGACTTCTGTGCTAGTCATGTATTGGGGGAAATGCAGCCGTGAGCATATAGGGAACCCCCCGGGGTCTAGACACTGGTGATGATGCTGAAGATCTGGATTTGATGAGGAGATGGGATGAAGAGGAGGTGTGATGAGGTCTTTGGATTAGCTCTCCTGGCACTGGATATGATGAAAGGAGGTGGATGGGGAGGAGGCGGGCGGCAGCATGAAACCTGAAATCACAGCTGACTGCAGGAGAGAGGAGAACCATTTGAAAGTTTGGCTGCAGTACGATGATTGGCTGCTGGAGATTGAGGTGAAATGTAATAGGTTAAAGAGAATGCCCATGATGAGCTGATTATATGCAGCTGCAGAGTGAATGTATATATATACCCAGTCTTCCTGAAAGAACTTGCGCTGAGCTTCATATAGTGAGTCAGACTCATGGTCAGACTGCTGGTTGGGAGGCTCAGTTCTTCCTGTTGACAGAAGATGGCACTTTTCTGAGAGGGAGCCAGCTGGCAGACACTGGACAGTGGCAAACCAACAGATGAAACAGGAATCCATCTGAGAGGCTATGTGGAAAAGGATAACAAATAATGTCAGCAAGACATGAACATATATAACCACTATCATTCAATTCTGTAATTGCAGGAGACAAAACGTACATACATATACATAACTTACATATACATGTACAATGAACAAAAAATAAAATGTTTGGGTAGTTATTTTAATACATTGAATACATTGAATACGTTGAATACATTTAACACATTGAATACGTTGAATACATTTAACACATTGAATACATTGAATACTTGGAATACATTTAACACAAATAACACAATTGAAATATACAATAACTAAACTCTTTAACTACATACACTATACATCTCCAGTGTGGCAATATTGCTGCAAGATTTGGTATCAGATATGAAAAAATACTTGTTTAGAGTTTTGCGTGTCCATGTTCAGTACAGACTTGTGCCGCGTTAAGCGTACTCCAAGTAGTATGTTGAACACAGACTTGCAAACAAAATACACCAAATTGAACTTTCAGTTACAGTTGAAGGTACAGATACAACATAATGAATATTGGCTAGAAAGAAGCTTGGGATGTTGCTGTTGACATTCACATAAATCGTTCCACTGTTGAAAACCATGTGTTGCGTTGCTTAAAGTGGACCTATCATGCTATATTTAAATGATATATTGTAGGGCCATACCTATATAAGGTATATTTATACGTTTCTTTTTTCAAAATACCAAACAGATCATGCATTTTAGCCATGCCTCATTTCGCTCTATTTGCTGTTCTCCAGGCCTGTTTTTGCAAGGGCTGATTCTGTGACTTAGCTTGAGCTGCAGCTGACCAGGGGGTCACGGCCCCCGGCACGAGCGTCATGTTACCATGCTTGTTTTGAAAACTAGACGAGAAGAAACATGTCCTCCCAGAGAAATGCGTGCGTTCAAGCGTATTTTGATGAGTATGATCCAGAATCGGACACTGAAGGAGACGAGGTTTTGGTGGAAGTGCAAATATCTCGGTTGCAGCAGGACCTTTCTGAATGGTTAGTTGACACACTTTTGTCCCTATTTATTTTACGTTAACTCTGTTTGTTGTTACGATGCTTGCTACTTATTCCGTTCATATTTCAACCCAGTCTCACGGCATTTCGTGTTATAGTCACGTTATTTAATCTATTGATTCGTGTGCACCACCACGATTATCCCCTTATTTTCGTGTCACACAGAACGATTTTAAAAGCAATGTATTTCTATTGGTAATGTGTTTCGTGCCTGCAACACGTCTTTTTCTCGGTCTGGTCGTGGAAGACCGGAAGCTGTGTGGTTCATAAAAACATGTTCTTACTCAATATCAAGCCACGATTATTGCTTTTATTTAAAATCGTATCATTTCGGACTTTTGTTGCCGTCTGTGAGGAAAAGAAATGGGGCTCAGAGCCTCAGGATACTGAAATCTGTATTTTTAAAATCTTTTTTTCCTTCTAATTTGTTATTCTTTTCAAAATAACACACTGTTATTTACTCAACAATAACACACAATTATCCTTGTTTTTATTTATTGGTTTAATTCGATAATCTCGGGCTATTTTGACGTCCGTCAGGAACTGAATTTCAAAATAAAGTCAACACGTCTTTTTCTCGGTCTGGTCGTGGAAGACCGGAAGCTGTGTGGTTCATAAAAACATGTTCTTACTCAATATCAAGCCACGATTATTGCTTTTATTTAAAATCGTATCATTTCGGACTTTTGTTTGTTGCCGTCTGAACTGAATTTCAAAATAAAGTCCGAAACAATACCAGAAACAGATTTAGGACTTTTCAATAATCCTCAGCGGTGATTGGATGTTTTAGCCGCAATGCACGTAGGGATATGGTGTTTATGCACACGTTTCTTTCGTGTCAGAAAGCACGATTTTCAAAGTAATGCATTTTAAGTGGAAGAATTGTTCGTGTCTCCTCTTCGTGTCTCGGGAAGCCGGAAGCTGTATTATTTTCTAATGTTTATTTTTTTTAACCATAACGGGTACTTTACATAACATTGAGTCAAACTTATCCTTGTTTTGTTTATGTTAAATTGTTATTGTCAATCAATTGTCCATTTTATTTATTAAGGTTTAGGATATTTGCCAGGAGAAGGGAGACCGTCGGAAACCGGAAGCTGTATTATTTTCAATGTTTTTTGTTTTTTTTTATTAATTTTTTAACCATAACGGGTACTTTACACAACATTGAGTCAAACTTATCCTTGTTTTAATCCTTGTTTTATTTATGTTAAATTGTTGTTGTCGGTTAATTTTCCATTTTATTTATTAAGGTTTAAGATATCATTAGTCTTTTATTTTATTATTATCATGCTTGGTGTTTACACTTTTCTGCATTTTATAAGGCAATATATACTTTTTTGTTTTTGTCTGTAGGCTACTTAGGTTATTAAATAGTTATTGTGTCAAAATATAGGAAATGTATTAATATTTTATTGTATAATCGGTACAGGAAATGACATAATTCAGAGCACCACCACCGGTCCGGCATTGCTATCCATCTTCTGACAAAGTAAGTTGTGTCACTAAAGTCTGATGCATGATTTAATAATTGGGGCTTTTTTTAAGCCTTTTCTCGCATAGTTCATCATACATAATGAACTGTTCTAAGTCTGAGAAATGCTTTCGCCATAATCAGCAAAGCAACATTAATGTGAAATTATTCTTGCGGGCGGCTAGCTAGCTAGCTCACGTTCAACATAAGCTTAATCTAGTTTAGCTACATTTATATCAGCTCATAAGTGGTGTGTGGAAAATATTTGTCTTAATTACGGCTACATACTCCGGTGTTAAAGTGTGAGTTATACGTTATCTTAATCGCTTTTGTTTTACACATGACAGTACTAACGCTGCCGAGTGGACATTTAACATATGTTTGGGGGGGAGGGGCATAGTCCATGTGCACGGCCATGTGCTTGTTACGAGTCTGAAACAGGAAACACGTACATGAACTCACTCAGTCTGTCTAAAGTAGTTAAACCGTCACAATGTGCATTTAAAAAAGCTAGTTTCACTACATAATTCACTTTTTCTGTTCTCTCCTGCAGCTCCTGTACCCACACCACAAACCCATACACTGATCTACACCATCATAAAACCAACGGCACTTTTAAGAGCCAAACTCAACCTATCTCTCTGTCTATCTACCTAGCTTTCTTATAGTTATTGTCTCTATCTTTTTCTATCATTCATTATCTATTTCTTCATCTATCTATCTCAATCTTACAATCTGTCTCACTATCTCTGTCTGTCTCATACAGCAGCTGTTTGTTTGCATATCTGTTGTGTCTGGCTGGCTGGCTGGCTGGCTGGCTGGCTGGCTGGCTGGCTGGCTGTGTTGCAATGGCAACAAAACACAACCCAGACCCCAATAATCCCACATCCAAAGAAGGGAAACGCATGGCTCTTGAGCTGAAGCATGAACACATGCTAGCTGAAGCTAAGGTTGGTGTTTTAACCCATATGACCTCATTCATTTCCTACTTGAATGTGGCACTATCTCTTATCCAAAAAATGCTGAACAGGCCAAGAGTAACTGGATTTTGGATCAATGTATAGGGCCTTTGCAAAACAGTTCATCATTACAACATGGGGGGCAGAGGCTTACTAAATAAAGCTTGTTCAACTTGTTTTACTTGATTAGTTGGATATGGTAGGAAAAACTTGAAGCAAAAATGTTCTTCAAGTGAATGAATTTCCTTTTATTTGCCCACTGTCATATGGTATCAGTTTATCAGCAACATCAACCTTACATGAGTTGTTACTTGGTCACAGAAAGCAGCTGAGGAGAGGAAACGGGCACGCTCTGTAGGAGACACTTTACAGTCCCCTAAAAGGGACGTGGCAAGCCGAGAGGGAGGCGTGGAGGGCGACGCCAAGGCTCAGCTACAGGTTGAAATCCCAATTATTTTACATTTTTATGAATTTACTAAGTAAATGGTTGGAAAATCTAATTAAAACACAGTAATTGCTTGTTGAGGGTCTACAATAATTCCAATATGTAAACGCATAGTGACACTACAGTCGGAGACATTCCCACTGTGGTGTCATAAGAACTATGCTTTATTTAATTTCACAAGCTTTTAAACAATAGGTAGATAATACAAATCATCAGTTATCTGTTGTTAACCCTCTGTGTGATGTTTTACAGTCACATCCTGACTGACTGAGGGCTTCCAGTCATCCAGTGTGGAGGTTCTGCGTACTGAACCTTCAGCACAACATGAATTTGGTAAATCACAAAAATGGCTTTAAGTTTAAAACTAAAATCAATTTTTAAATAAATTGTGTTAGTGAGAGAAAATAACCTTATACACAACTGACAGTTCAGGACTCGAACGAGGAATAATTCAGTAAAGATATTGGCCAGTTCCATACTGAGCAAAGAAATGATCCTTGATTTTTAGTGTTCATCTTAAATATAGTCATTTACAGTTAAAGTTTCCCATTCTGTTCACAGAAAAGAATATGGAGAGACTCTCTGACATTCTTTCCTCATGTCCTCCTCCTGAGCCTCAAAGAAGCTCTGCCTCATCCTGGTCTTTTCGGCAGCAGAAAGCCTCAGAGCGCTGGAAAGAAGCGAGACCACACCACCTACAATGCCTTCTAGAAAAAGAGGCTGTTGGTCATCCCCTGTGTGGCCTCTGCCACGAGCCGGCTGTTATTAGGTGAGATAACATTTACCTTTATTTAAATTACTTTACCTAATTGTAATTTTTCAGTATTAATGCTCAGTGCTCTGCTATTTCAGCTAGCATGCATGACTTTTGGGATGTTAGAAAACTGGATACCTAGAGAAAACCCACATGAAAATGAAAGTAATTCTAGGATATTATAATCATTTTGTATTTCCTCCCAAGGTGTAGAGAGTGTCTCCCCGAGGAGTGGTTCTGTGGAGACTGTGATGTACTTCATCACAAGAAACAGCCACTCCACAACAGGGACAGTTTAATGAATGGGTTTTTTAAACCAATTAGTCCAACAACGTGTGTTGTTAGAGTGGAAGGTGGATATGACACCCATGACCAAGGTATGCTCTCTCAAACTTGCATTTTGATGTTCACATGTCTCTTCGGCCAGCAGATAATGGTAATTAGTGCTTTTTTTTTTTTTTTTGACAGCTTGCATATTGCCAACTGTGAAGGCACCCAACTGCTCCTGTAAAGGCAAAAACTTCACTGTGGTACCAGGCAAACCAGTGATTTTAATTACCATCAATGGTAAACAAATATATATATATATATATTTGGATTTCTATTGAATTGTTATATTTTTACTGTTGTGGGCTGAGGCATTGTGCTTCCAATTGGAGTAAAACCTTCATGTAATATCTGTTAATCTTTGACTATTTGTAGATGGAACTGTTGTAAAATGTGTCTTAATTATGTTTATTTACTTGTTCCAAGGGCGTTATGACTTGCATCTGCCACTATATGTCTGTCAAACTTGCCAGCAGCAGTGGACCCCCGACTTGAAAGTCCTCCTTAAGAGTGGATACTGGCCAGCTTCGGTCAGTATTTCAACACTTTACACCTTGGACCTCATGAGCTCCTTTGAAGAGCTCAAGGTCATCTCTCCGGGATTCTCCAGACAGGCCTTTGCAAAGCTGCTGGAGCATCGCACAAAGTGTGGAGGAAGAGTAAGTATAAATATTCGTTACCATATTATACATTATAACATTTCCGTAAATAGACAAAATCACAGCAATTATGTAATTATCTTCCAGTCTGGACCTGTCAACGGAGATGCACTGCAGCGCAGCTTTCTGGAGTTCTCCTATGCCTCGTATGAGGAAGACCAGCTCTGCTGTGGTGCTCCTTTCATCTGCCCTGCCTGCACGCCGGAGATGTTGGCTGTTTCTGCCGATGGAAACAGGAAGCTCTATCGCTTTCGGCGAAGTGGAAGGTGCTGTTTTTACAATGTTGTTATTTAACTTTTTTGATTACTGTTTATATTTCATGGATATATTTGCTAATCTTTTTTTCCTTAGTTCTGATGGCAGCGCCTTTTTTAATGGGCTCTTTGTAGCAGAAGACAGCGCGGTGGCTGCATTTGTCGACAAAATACAGAGATCACTGAAAAATGCAAGTTTTTATTCGTCATTTTACCTTATAGGTATATCACAAAAATAGCCATGTATATCCGACCTAGACTTTCTTCAAATTCAGCTACTTCTCCTTACCATCTACTCCAAAATCAGATAATTAGAACAAATGGTGTAGATTGTGATTCCATTGCTTTTAACTGATTTGTCATAATGTAATGTGTGTCTTAGACCCAGGGAAGAGGCACATGTGGGGACTCCCAGTGGACAGCAGCGAGGGAGACGTCAAGGAGGGCTTCTAAGCTGGATGAAGAAGGGATGGAGGTGGCTGTATGTCGCCATGGGTTTCTTTTGAAGGCCTTAAATATGTACAGGGGGGAGATATTCGCCTACCCCCTGTATCTTCAAAAGGAACTCATGCCAGCCAAAGCCAAGTTCTTCGCCATGGATGTGGCTTGCAAGTACTGGCCGTACATGGAGAAAGCTGCAAGTGTCCTTCCTGCTCTCCAGGAGCTGACCACCATGAAGCCATTCCTCAGTGTAATGCATGCTCGAGCCCATGCTACCAAATGCGAGGTATGTGAAATATTTTTGTATCACGTACATTTATATTTTTTATATTTATAATACTGAAGTAGTAAATATCTAAGATATACTGTTTAGTATAGTAGTATGTAGCCTCTTTGCACAACAATTCCAGCAACCTTTTACCATCAGATTATATGGAGTGGGAAGAACCAGGAGGGAGCAGGGATGACCGCCGGGGAAGAGGTGGAGCAGGTCAACAGCTACCTGTCCCGTTGTGCCCTGACAACCAAATACATGTCCAAAGCAGGTGAGTGGAAGGTTTTGCCCTATTATTGCATACTTTTTTAGATGACACATCATAACCTCATTATTGCGTTCAAAAGCACGACTGGACATGCTCACAGTGCATGCTATGGGATGGAACAGGAAAAAAGGTGACTCCCTTCATAAGGCACTTTCCACAAGATATGTGAAGGTGAGCCTCCTATTAAAGGTGTTGTGTCCTTTGTCATTTGCACATGGCTTGTTGTTAATCATAGCAAGTTTTAATCTTGATAAATGTCCATCGTCTACTGTTTATCAGACTAGTAAGAGGCTCCTGGAAGAGACTGCAAGTCTTGAGGAACTCAAGACGGAGCTACATTGTGTCTCAGATGACATGGTGTCGACGTGGATTTCCGACGTGAAGGAATGGGCATCTGGTAAGCACGACGAGATAACACCAGCTACATATCATTGTCCATGACTGTTTGAATTTACAGATTTGATCCTAAAGAGCAGCCAATGATATAAGGCGGATTTTTCATGCCACGTAATGGGACCCTCACTGGATTTCAGTAGACGGGGACATAATCTTCAAGCAACAGCAAGCCAACTATGTGTCCATGTTTATCTCTGATATGTTCCAGTTTCCATAGTTGTACCATCAATTTGTGTTAAAAGGTGTTACACAACTTTGTTTCTCAAAACCGTTACGTGTTGTGTAACAGTACATTTTACTGCCACTATTATTTCTACAGGAACATCAGAAACATCGGGTACTTCTGAAGACATCCTTCAAACAGCACTGCAGCAAAGCATTGAGGGGCTTTACCTAAGTGTGAGGCAGCGGAAGCAATCCCTTTACCGACAGAATGGTATAACAATATAATGTTTTAGGTTGCAGATTCAACCTACTGAATTATATATATTTTTTGCACTTGCAAATATAGTTTGTCACATATCCCTATCCCTCTACCTCATGTATTTTTCAGACAGCAGCAAGCTCCGCCATCGACTTCGAAGGAAGCTTGCAGACGACAAAAAGCGCCTTAACCAGGAGATACTGAAGTACAACCAGCTGGTACACGACTCTGCCAGAGGCATAGATGTTGCTGCGGTGGAGCATTCCCTCTCTGGAGGGAGCATCATGTCCGCGCTGTGGCCGTGGGAAGTTCATGGCATGGGTCAGTTTTCAGATATTTCATAATAATTAATTTGAAGTTCTGTTATATGAAGGTATACCTTGCTGAGTTATGCACATATCATGTAGAGTGTTAAAACGTTCATTTAGTTTAAGGGTATATCTTAAGTTTTCTTATTGTGTATACATTTGATTATTTTGAAAGTACATGTTTGGAGTTTTAAACATATTGTTATGCTATAATGAAAATGTGACTCATGTATACATAACTGTGATTGGATTTTAGCTAACTTTACAGCCAAGAAAAAGATACTGGATCAAGTGATGCTTACACGGAGACTGCAAGAGGAGAAAGGCATCCTATTGTTGGAGATGGCGCAGCATTGCACATGGTTGCAGAACATGGCAGTTGCTCTAAAAAATAAGGTGGCTGAGGAAGGTAAGTTGAAAGCAAAACTTAACCTACCTTGTAAAGTATAAGTTTTAAAGGAAAAAAGTCAGCCCAAATCATTCTTGGTCACAGAAATTGGATGGAGTATAATGGCCTTTGCCCATTCGACCCGGCCATTTTACATAATGAAGTCCCTTGACAGTGACAATCATCTTTATGTACATGGGAGAGAATATACTCCATTGAAGTGCTCTGGCCTCGTGAAGCAATCTTACTGTATAGTATGTCCATATAACAATATTTTGTGTATTTTCAGATGTAGACAAGGGGAATGTAGGACTTGGGTGCACCCTAAGAAGGAAGCATGCTGAGGCGTCGGAGAGGTTGCAGGTGGTACTGCAGCAGTACAAGACTGCTTTAGGTCCTGATGCTTCTTTCCTTCAACATGAAGAGGAAAGTCAAAGTGGCCTAAGCAGTCCAGACACCAGTGAGGATGAAGAAGGAAACATCATTTAGGTAATTTACTTAGGAATTAATGTACAGTATCTTTGTTGATTTAGCCTCAACCTAGACATGTTGCTGTTACTTTTGTATTCATTAATGCTAAACATACATTGTGTATTCAAAAACCTCAAATGTGGGTTCTGATCTGCCCCTCTTTTTTGTTTCTCTGTATTTCCCCAGATTGCTGCTGCTCTCAAGCACGAATATCCGCCAAGACTTGATGTGCTATCAGAAATGTAAATACTTTACTGACTTTATATTTAGAGATTGTATTCATACTCCTCAATGGAAGATCACCCTTGAATATGTTGACCATATGACTTTTCCCTATGCCGCAGCATCAGGCCAAACATTTCACTTGTACACAACTTAAATGTTATTGAACAAAATGCTCAGCGTCCCTGGAATGCATCCTGAGCAATGAACCATTCACTTTTGATCCTTTTTGAAACACACATGTCCAAGTATATCTTGCTGGTTACCAAACAACTTGGTGAGCACATCATTGTCCAAGAGCAGGAGGTCTTTCCCTTTTTTCCCAGAACGGGATGCCTATGCATTATTATTTTCGATCTCTTATAGGATTTACCTGTCATTAACTTTATATGACTGCACCTGTTACACTGCAGGCCAATGACAGCTTTGCTCTAATTGTTCATTTTTGTTTCTTTTGCGTTACTTGCTTTTATTGCTTTGTCAGTTATATTTCCTTTTTGATCTCCAGCTATTAACCTGATTGATTGAAGTACTTCAATCAACATGTACAATGCACAATCTTTTAGGATGTATAATTAGGGACATTGAGATAAACAACAAATAGTTTATTTGGTGAATCACCTCATTGTTGTTCTCAAAACCAAATAATACATTGTTATAAATTGTTATATTTGATTTACACATAGAATGTACATGTTTAATATACATAGTTAAATCCTAAAAAAATGGTTGTGTTGTATGATTTCTTAATACTGTATGTTATAACCTTTTGCATAACTTGATTTTATGTTCTGTTGTCCATGCTTTTCATGTTAGACTAACCCCAACGCTCTAGAGTCAACATACACCCTTATGGTGGCCTTTTACTTGTATTGTGGTGAAACACATAAGTAAATCATTGCCAGAGAGGACCATTTTATTGTTTTAAAAACAATGTTATTGATGTGGTTGTTTGATGAATAAATATAAATTAAGCATACTTCTGTGGTACTTTTTGTTGTTTACATCACACTGCATTATAATGCGTTTGGAAATAAATTCATTTAGAAGTAACAATATGGGTTAGCACTTGAATATTTTTGTAAAGAGATGATCCTCATCTGGAACACTGATTGTTAGTTTAAGATAAGATAGAACTTTATTGATCCCAATTTGGGAAATCTTTGCGTTGCAGCAGCATTAAAACACATCGCATTATACAATAAAAAGACAAGAAATAAAGAAGAAAATATACATGTTGAATTTACAAATGAGCAATAACAAGATATAAAGCAAGGTATTATATTTACATAAGTATGTGACAGATGGAATATTAAATATTACACTGAATATGTCAAATGTACTGTGAAGAGAGAAGCTATGGAGCAGAGAGTTCTCTTCCAGCCAGAGGTGATTTGTTGTACAGAGTTATTGCAGTGGGCAGGAATGTTTTCTTGTATCGGTTCCTGTGACAGCGGAGCTGCAGCAGTCTGTTGGAGAAGGAGCTCCTGTCTGTCCAGGTGGAGAGGGGTGGGGTGGGGTTATCTGTCTGTCCAGCTGCAGGTGGAGAGGATGGGTGGGGTTACCCATGATGGAACCAGAATAAGGTTTGTTGGCTTACACGCCTTTCATCGTAGTGGAAAATATTGTCATATGGAATATTTTTGGATAGTTTCACCATTGAAATGCGTTTGATAACACTAGGTGCTCTAGTGCCAAAGTTGTGGCCCTAAAAAAATATCAACTATTCATTTGTATGGCACCCAGAGCTTCCACATTTTAGGGAATATGTTTTTTGATTTAAAATATCATCACTGTCATAAGCAATGGTTACATTAAAACCCTCCTATTGTATTCGTTTCCCCCCCTTACTTTGGTGTTCGCGGTCAAATTTGACCGGTCCTGTTTTAACTGCTATTACATTAACACAAAAACCGTTAATCATCACCAAATGTAATTTAACACCCTTTCAAACTGTAAATATTGTATCAGACTACTGGTATACATGAACAACTGCAGTAAATATACAAAGAATAGACACTGAACATGTATTGGGTGTGCCGGGGGGATGGGCACATAAGAGCGGGAAATGTTTCAAATTGGTGTGTGTGTGTGTGTGTGTGTGTGTGTGTGTGTGTTTGATCTGATCCGGATAGTTACTAATTCCTTGTCTTTATGGCGGGAACACCATGGGTGTTTCAAAGTTGACTAAATCATCCAAAATGCAATGAAAGTGGTGATCAGCAATTTAATATGTTCAAATGTCTACTGTGGAGGATATCATTATGCCTTAATGCAATCGAATGTAAAACAAAAAAGTTATGATTGATGAAAGTAGTAAATCGGTCAAATTTGAACCAAACACAACAGGAGGGTTAAAAGCATAGCTATGCTACATACTGTAGGCTACTGTGCTTAGAATGGACTGTTATTTCATATTAAAAAAATAAACTATTTTTCTTTTACTTTCTTTTTTACAAGTGTGCATGCGCTACAGTCGTGCTGCCATAAAAGACCCCCTGATCACCTCGCAGCTGTCCAGCATGAAATGAGGTCATATGAGGTCATATATGAGGCGGCTGTTGTTGGGGAATTACTTTAACTTGAATTTGATTTGTATTTCTTTGCTGGATTGTTGACCTCTTCTCTCTCTGAGAGGAACAGGCAGCAGGGGCTGTCACACGGTTCTGTACAATATGTAAACTCTCCCTCCGTCTCTTTCGGGCCTATAACAGCGATGCCCAGGAAACCATGGAAATAAGCCTCCATTCTTTGAGATAATAACAGCATAGTGGATATATCAGGGTCAGAATACCTGAGACGAGATCTATGGCTTCTCCTTGCCTGACCAGACCTCTCTCTAGGTCGTCCTCAGACGAGCCCTCCATCGTCGCTTCCAGTCATCCCGGTTCTCCATACATCTGGCCAGTTCATTGGTACTTTGTGCTCCTGCGTCATTCTTGAGTACGTCCAGGTGACCTCAGACCTAGTGAGAACCAGATTCCACTATGAGAGAACCAGATTCCACTATGAGAGAACCAGATTCCACTATGAGAGACATCACTTGCCTCCTCATGTTGATAGATGTACATGCAGTGGTGTAACTATCGACGGTGCAGCCGGTGCAACGCACCGGGGCCCAGGGCCGGCCAGGGGCCCAATGGCATGGCGGGTTCACGCAGTCTTCAAAGTAACCAAGCAACCTAAATTAATTAAGTCCAAAACAATATTTGCACCGGTGCCACTCATAACCTTGTTATGCCACTGTGTACATGTATCTTTGTTGAGTAGGTTAAATCAGCCGGGCAGGGAGAGAATCTTCAGAGTTGATGGTGGCGGAGAGCTGGGCACAAAGCTCTGAACTCAAACAAACAGTGTTTGTGCTTCTGTCATTTGTCAAATCTCCAGCACAGACTTTTTATCTAATTATTTCTACTTTTCTATCTCAAAAGATTATGACTTTTTTATCTCATAATTATGACTTTTCATTGGGAAAGTCTTTTTTATTGGGGAAACAGGCTTCTATAAATAATAATGTGCAATTACATATACATTTTATTTTACTTCTAGAATAAGAAAAATAAACATAAGAATAGTCTACCGAAGATAAAAGCATGGACAAGTCTTTCCAAATCCTGCTGTGACATTAGTCTTTTAATCCTAGATATGTTCTTTAGGTGATAGTAGGCTGATTTAGTAACTGTTTTAATGTGACTGTTGAAGCTCAGGTCAGAGTCCATGGCTACACCTACATTTCTGGCTTTATATGTTTTTTTTAACATTGTATGTTGAGTTGGCACCTCAGCTCAAAACATACAAAAACACAGAAGAATAGAAAGTTAACCCATTGAAATGATATGAGAGCAGCGCTACAAACTACAATTCCCATTAGATACGCGCCCAAACATCGTTACGAAGTACACAGAGCTGACATATTTGTAGTTCTTCCGGCGTGTGTGCGTGGACTCGTTCGACTTGTCTTGCGTTGACGGCCGTATAGGCTCCATTCCCTTTCAGAAAGCCGTCAATCGGGCGCGATCCGAAACCAAAGCCTGTGTTTAAAAAAATATACAATACAAATGTGCACTTTTGCCTCCTTTGCAACGGCAGTATCGTTTGTCTAGTACTTCCGGGTGGCGATCTGAGTTCGGGTACCGTATCTGTGACGTGACAAAGGGTCGCCATGACAACGTGGGGATGAGATGTGGATAACTTTCCAGATAAAGACCATCCTGATACTCGAGTTGTGGTTTTCAATAAGTGAAAAAGAAAATTCAAAGTAATCACTACCATTTTAATATCTCAAGCATTTAAATATGTCCCCAAAAGCTTTCAAATGTAGTAGCAAAACCACAGTGATCCAGATCAGGATCATTTTAATTAGGCCTATAATTAAATGATATGCAAGCCTACCTCCAAAGCGTTATACTTCGGAAGTTAAACAAATTAGATAAGGCAGTGGATGGCAACGTACCAGATTTCACACATGAATATGCTTAATATAGGTTATGGTGTTCCTATCACTGACAATGAAATCATGTAGTATTTCAACTGTAATTTCCTAAAAAGTCAAATGCATTTTGGTGGAGGTTTTCATCTTATTTCTAATAGAAACATATTAAATACGACTCAAATGGAGCATATAAACAAGAGAATAAACGTGCAAAAACAAAACTGGAGTTCAAATAACAGTTTTTATTTTTATGCATTATCCCGGAGAATTCTTCGGCTGCCAGGAATGAGCCCACTCCTTGCCACTGAAAACAGAATGGAATAATGTTAGTTACAGGTACTGGTTTCGTCTTTCCGAAAAGCATAAAACATGTGTGAAGCAAACATCTTATAACTCAATTTATATAAGTAAATATTTCATTTTCCATTTATTAACGACCACCACCATTTAGAAAAAGTGAACATAGAAATGAAAACACATTTTCAAACAAACAATAAAAACAAACCAAAATACATACATTAACAACAATGAAGTTAAACAATCATTTGTTCCTACACTACTTCAGCTGCTTCAGAATAACAGCAGTGAAATATATAAGAGGACTGGTGGTAGATCTGGATGTTTTGCATTTGTTAAATATCATGTGTTTGTTCTCCAACATGGGACATCAGATGACATGAAGCCAAGTAACTGGAAGATATATATACCATACTGGACAGGGCTCCCACTCCACCAACATTTCTGCTTTTCCCTATCAAGAGAAGAAAACAAATCTCTAATTTCGGAAAGACCAAACGCATATTAGCTATTTAGCAAACAATTGTGGTGGAAATCACATAAATCATAAAGCACACCCTATGCATTACTTTTATTCCTGTCTAACCTTTCTCATTCTTTCTCTTATTAAACTCCTGATGGGGAAAGTTTCTAGGCGAGTGTGGTAGGAGCAATCTGTGAACATCAAAGCAGATTCCACATACAGTATTAGTCATATTAGAAATAAAATAAATACAACTATGAACACTTAAGTAGCAACCAGACTTGTACGATGAATAGTGATCACACTGTTATCACTGGTCAAAAGTTACTGTATACATCATTGAAATGGAACCAAGCTGCTCTCAGTCCTATAATGGGATGCTTGTTTGAATGGCCATACCACTGCTGAGCCTGAGATGACCAAAGAAAATACTGCACTGCTGCTTCCTTTACTGCCTAGCATTCTCATCACCACCTTATCAACTATGACTGTATGTATTTTAGTCTAATTAGACAATTAAAGCCCTTTGGATTTTTGGATAATGATTTTTGGATAATGTATCAGTTATAGTTATTAGTCACAATATAGCGTTGTTAACTCACTGAAGAAGCATCAATCACTGCGTTTATATGCACTTTGCTAAAGTACATGTCGATAGATTTATTAGAATACCAATCAATTCGACTCATGCACATGTTTATAATCAGTCAAAATACTTAATACTGTTAACATACCTGACTTTTTCTTTTTGCGTCTAGGACCAAGTACTGTGTCCCTCACGGACCCTGTCCTGACAGCTGTGGGTTGAAGAAGAAATATTACTATATACATACAGTATACCAAGTTAAGCTTAAACTCAAGTTTCAAAATACATCCCACAAATGCAGCATCACATGATGCAATAGGTGTTAGGTACAGATATCTTTTTGTTATTGCGATTTAATTGAGGTTGATCTATGAAGTCTAGGTGTTTTGTTGTCTTGCCTATATAATTGACTCCATACTTTATGTGTAAGGAATAGTTTGATAAATATTAACATGTTGTGCTGTAACGTTAAATGAATTTAACTTTGATTCAAAAACCTAAGTTTATTCCCCGTATATTCATTATGGGACAGTGTCATATCTAAATGCAGTTCTTGAGTATAAAGTTTAAATATGCTGCATGACGTTGTTGCATGAGTTGCTTCAAAGTTTACCCCTAGGGTCAGGGATTGCTTTAGGTAGACCACAATATTAATGATATCAACCTCTCGTACAATATATGGACATGAGCCAAATCATTTTGATGTAATCGACCTACTGCCCAACGCTACAATGTAAGACCCTTTCTGTGTGTAAACAAAATGACATGAGTTTTATTTTGTGATTTATCAAATGTATAGTAAGCCTGCTGTTGCTTTGCATTTTTGTGTGAAAAAGGTATAACCATATAGTAACCACATGTCTGTTCAGGAATGAAAGAATGTATTTTTCTAAATGTTTAATATTTATTTATATCCAAGTACCTAAGGATATAAACATACCCAAGTATCCCATTTTCCTTTCATATTTATGAAGTTGTAGGTGAAATTGTTATTTAGATTAAGCTATTGTTGTTATTATTATTTACCTATTGGAACAATCATTATTCCCAAAAATGCAAGAAGTGCAATTAGGTGTTTTGAGATATTGTAGAAGCATGACTTGTCAACAAGTTACCTCCAATAATCTTTTAGGAAGATATCGGAAAACACTCTTGACTTTTATAAATATAAAAGCTGCAAATCTCAGAGAACACATGTCACTGTGTGTGCTGTGTGCTCTGCATGTGTGACCATTAAAGAGGGTTTCATCCCTCCGATTCGATCTATCTATTTTATTACCTGGCCCCTCCGTGGTGGTAGCCTGTCTCAGATCATCCCGCTGGGGCTGCTCCTCCTGCCCCACCTCTATGATGGTGCACTGCTTCACGGGGGGGGTCTTCAGCACCTCCACCTGCACGGTGCTTGTCTCTGGCACCTGGCTCTCTGACGTCCCTGCCTCCTGCCCTACCTCTTTGGTGGTACACTGCTTCACGGGGGGGGTCTTCAGCACCTCCACCTGCACGGTGCTTGTCTCTGGCACCTGGCTCTCTGACGTCCCTGCCTCCTGCCCTACCTCTTTGGTGGTACACTGCTTCACGGGGGGGGGGCTTCAGCACCTCCACCTGCACAGTGCTTGTCTCTGACGTCCCTGCCTCCTGCCAGTTGTTTTCTGGTTCAGATGGGTCACAGGGTGTGAGGTTCAGCGTGACTGTCTCTTCCTCACCCCTAGATTCCACCGGGTCCGTCTGCGGCGCGTTACGGACGCGTTACGGCTGCGCCGCGGTGCTCAAGGTGATCGCGGCCACTCTAGTCAATGGGTGCTATTCCACCACACGCGGCGCGTTACGGCTCAGAAGCGTCCCAGAAGCGGCTCGGCGCAGGGCTTTTCTAAAATTAGGATCGAATCCTATTTTTGTCGCAGCGCAGCCGTAACGTAAGGTCGGGCAGGCAGGAAGTGGAACGTTCAGAGCTATATAGACCTATATATATACACACACACAAACTAATTTTGCAGACCCTATCCCTCCGTAGTCTTTCAAGTAGGAGGAGAAATGCCAGCGTTCTCCTCCGGTTTACAGGCACTGTGTACATTATATATATAGAATAATTATGATGATGAATGCATTTTTTTTACCACTAAAATACAGCAACACATCTTTGATTCATGTCGTTTATAACTGGAATATTACAGTTATTATTAACTTTGTCTGTACAAAGTAGCCTGTCCAGGAAATATGCCCAAATCAACAAAAACTGCGAGCCGGCAGGCAAGACTCTCCGCTTCTGAAATGCTTCTGAAACGCGCCTGGTAGGGTATGACGCCGGAGGAGGCCGGACCAAAACCGCGGCGCAGACGGACCCGGTGGAATCTAGGGGTTAGGATCTTCCGCAACCCCCTGGCCAGTGGAGTCCTGTGTCCAACCTGTGCAAGTTAAACAAATGTTGGTCTTGATTTGCTTAAGACAAAGAGGTTAACTCATATATCTAGAAATAAGAAATACAGCGTGCTTAAGGTATGTTTCCAGACAGGGTCAAAAATATACTCGTCATGTCATAGGACTGTGTGCAGTCAAAGTTAATAGCAGTAATAGTGGTATTTATCCAGTCAACCATTTATGGTTTTGTTTTTGCGATATTATTCTTCCGATTTGTGTCTACATTCCATGTGATGTGACATGTCAATTTGTCGGTAGACAACATATAGACGTGTGCATGTATGTTCCCTTACATTATTTACATCCACACATTTTGTTCAGAATTTATAAGACTGACGCAAACGTGTTTTGCATAAGTGCAATCAAATAAGTAGCAAGTCGCTTTGGATAAAAACGTCTGCTAAATGTAATATAAAGGGACCTCTGGATGCACTGGATAACTGCTTTTGTTTACAACCCGAGAAACATGACCTTAATACAGAACTGCCAAACTGAATATGTGGTCAACTGGGATCGTCTTCATGTATTGTGCTCTTACCATTAACCTCAAAACATTTCTCCCTTTTGGGCGTTGATAAAGCAAACAGTTTAGGAACGGTTTGCTAAAAGGAAATTGCTTAAGAGATGGCTCAAGCCTAAAACTACATTTCAGTCATCAAACCCAACTACCTTGACATTAACAACTTTTAATTTGTATACAATGAATGCGCAAGTGGTAGCACAATACCCCAAAATGGTTTTTCAAATTCAAGTAAACTTGCCTACCTATTTCCTGATAAATAACAGTTAAATGTCCACAAGTCCCCTCTGCAGAGTAAGCCATGTCTCATTAGGCTACATACTCAGTGTTTAAAAATGTATTTATTGTATGTAGTTTGCTAAAATAATGAACAGTCAAACGTTGTCCATATCCCTAAATATTTTGCTTTTTGCTTTGCAACTTTTGTAATACTTTGCAGCTAAAAATAGTGACAGTTAACAGGTAGAAAGGATGTGTGTTAGTTGTCTCACAAAAATATAGTTTGCCAAACCCAAATAAATGGCTCGAATGACTGCTTTCTGGCTGTATCAAAGGATAAATACTGGATCAAGTTGTTGTCCCACAAGATTTGGATGGATTGAAAACAGTCGCTGTAAGTTGTTAACTTAACTGACTTTATTAAATGAGTTGATCCAAACTCATTCCATATAACTGTGTTGGTTATAAGGAAATGTTAAGCTCTCCAACGTTTATACTGTCAGGGAGGTAAGGACTCGTTGACTGAACATGTTTTAGGGGTGAACCATCCCTAGAAGAGTTTAACATTGATACAAACATTTTGTGTACACAATACTGTGAACTGTGAAGATATAGTGCAAGCATCTCACCTTCACAAAGGAACTCATAAAAAGTGCCTATCTTGTCAAGGTAATCCTGGGCATAGGCGGTCAGTGTGCAGCGAGGGGTTAGGATTTCACATTTGACCTCCTTCTTCCTGGTCTCCTTGCCAAGAAGCAGCACTGGTTTAAAGCCAATGGCATGGAGTTTCTCAAGCTGTAATGACAAAATAATATATTTACTGTTTAAAGAAATGGAAAGGAAACAACTATATAACTACAACTATAACATTACTGATGACAGCATCTAGTTGTATGCCATTCATAAACCTAGATGCTGAGTTTAGCTTTTGCAGAATCATGTATTTACCAGGAAGGGTTACACAGTAGAAGCAGAAAAATATTTTATAGACAAACACAAAATACAAATAAATCAGTATCCTGAGTCCCAGTTCAAACCCTGATAATCTTAAAGTTAAAGTACAATAAGATGCAAATGTGTGACCACTCAACAATTAACAGTTAACACTTGTGTACACAATGAGTATTGCATAATTAAAAATGTAACACAATCCAAGCATAGCTTGACACTGTTGAAATTGAAATTGCGTGCTGCAATGTAAAACGTTCCCGTATGTTGTGGCTGCAGTCGTAAGAGTAATATAGAGTAGTAACATACAATGATGTAGTCTTATTAAAGGTGGGGTAGGTAAGTTTGAGAAACCGGCTTGAGATACACTTTTTGTTATATTCCATGGAATGCTCTTAACATCCCGATAGCAATGAATATCTTAAGTGCTTTGACAAAAAATCCATAAAAAAATGTCATCTGTGGAAGCCGTAATACTGTAAAAAGCACGACCAATCATTTTAGCCGGCCCGGCTAAAATAACTGGATGGCCTACCTGCCTGTCAGCCTTCCATCTGTGCACAAACTTATCTCGTGCCCTCATTGGTCATGTGCGCGTTCGTGTGTGTTGGAGGAGGGGCTCTGTGAGGAAGTGGCAGATTTTCTCCGGTTGTGTATTTTCAAATTCTAGCGCACTCAAGCTGGTTTCTCAAACTTACCTACCCTACCTTTAATGTCTAAAAGTGTGTACATAAGCAAGAATGGAACACAACATGGAAGTGAAGGAAGTGCTCTGTTTATTTAAATGTGAAAGTTAAATTAAAATAGTGTCCCTTGGCTGTGAAAGTTAAGATAAGAGTAGTTTTAAAATTGAAAGAAAAGAGAATATTAAATAATACCTTTGCAATAATATCTATATTTGAAGTTGATATCAAAGTGTATATTGGTTAATAAGATACAAACATCATTAAGAAATAAATGTATATAAAAACAACATTCAACTTTATCCTGGCCCAATATATTGGCAAACAGTCGGGGGTCCGTCTGTGTCAGTTCTTTGGTGTCAGCTTGGTGTGTCCGGGCATTAACATACAGTAAAAAGTGTACATACCAAGACAATGGCTTCATCCTTGATGGAAGCAATGTTGTGGTTCTTCTTCCGCCCAGACACCCAATCCTCTCGCTTCTCATCAAACCGCTTGAGCTTCTTCTCAAGGCGCAGCTTTTTTGGCTGCTCCTTAAGGCAATGTGCACAGATCTTCTGTGCACAAAATAAAATGTTCTGACAGAAGGGACATGTCTTTTTTGTAGACCCACCTGGCATGATTAACACAGGATTACAAACAGACAGACTGACAAACACAGGAAAGTAGAGAAGTACACAGAATAGATAGAAGGGTGAATAAAGAAATAGATGATAGATATAAGAGAGCTAGATAGGGAGATAGGGAGAGTTTGGCTCTTAAAAGTGCCGTTGGTTTTATGATGGTGTAGATCAGTGTATGGGTTTGTGGTGTGGGTACAGGAGCTGCAGGAGAGAACAGAAAAAGTGAATTATGTAGTGAAACTAGCTTTTTTAAATGCACATTGTGACGGTTTAACTACTTTAGACAGACTGAGTGAGTTAATTTACGTGTTTCCTGTTTCAGACTCGTAACAAGCACATGGCCGTGCACATGAACTATGCCCCTCCCCCCCAAACATATGTTAAATGTCCGCTCGGCAGCACTGTCATGTGTCAAACAAAAGCGATTAAGATAACGTATAACTCACACTTTAACACCGACGTATGTAGCCGTAATTAAGACAAATATTTTCCACACACCACTTATGAGCTGATATAAATGTAGCTAAACTAGTTTAAGCTTATGTTGAACGTGAGCTAGCTAGCTAGCCGCCCGCAAGAATAATTTCACATTAATGTTGCTTTGCTGATTATGGCGGAAGCATTTCTCAGACTTAGAACAGTTCATTATGTATGATGAACTATGCGAGAAAAGGCTTAAAAAAAAGCCCCAATTATTAAATCATGCATCAGACTTTAGTGACACAACTTACTTTGTCGGAGGATGGATCGCAATGCCGATGGCAGCGGTCTTTGGCCAATAGGTGGTGCTCTGAATTATGTCATTTCCTGTACCGATTATACAATAAAATATTAATACATTTCCTATATTTTGACACAATAACTATTTAATAACCTAAGTAGCCTACAGACAAAAACAAAAAAGTATATATTGCCTTATAAAATGCAGAAAAGTGTAAACACCAAGCATGATAATAATAAAATAAAAGACTAATGATATCTTAAACCTTAATAAATAAAATGGAAAATTAACCGACAACAACAATTTAACATAAATAAAACAAGGATTAAAACAAGGATAAGTTTGACTCAATGTTGTGTAAAGTACCCGTTATGGTTAAAAAATTAATAAAAAAAAAAAAAAAACATTGAAAATAATACAGCTTCCGGTTTCCGACGGTCTCCCTTCTCCTGGCAAATATCCTAAACCTTAATAAATAAAATGGACAATTGATCGACAATAACAATTTAACATAAACAAAACAAGGATAAGTTTGACTCAATGTTATGTAAAGTACCCGTTATGGTTAAAAAAAATAAACATTAGAAAATAATACAGCTTCCGGCTTCCCGAGACACGAAGAGGAGACACGAACAATTCTTCCACTTAAAATGCATTACTTTGAAAATCGTGCTTTCTGACACGAAAGAAACGTGTGCATAAACACCATATCCCTACATGCATTGCGGCTAAAACATCCAATCACCGCTGAGGATTATTGAAAAGTCCTAAATCTGTTTCTGGTATTGTTTCGGACTTTATTTTGAAATTCAGTTCAGACGGCAACAAACAAAAGTCCGAAATGATACGATTTTAAATAAAAGCAATAATCGTGGCTTGATATTGAGTAAGAACATGTTTTTATGAACCACACAGCTTCCGGTTTTCCACGACCAGACCGAGAAAAAGACGTGTTGACTTTATTTTGAAATTTAGTTCCTGACGGACGTCAAAATAGCCCGAGATTATCGAATTAAACCAATAAATAAAAACAAGGATAATTGTGTGTTATTGTTGAGTAAATAACAGTGTGTTATTTTGAAAAGAATAACAAATTAGAAGGAAAAAAAGATTTTAAAAATACAGATTTCAGTATCCTGAGGCTCTGAGCCCCATTTCTTTTCCTCACAGACGGCAACAAAAGTCCGAAATGATACGATTTTAAATAAAAGCAATAATCGTGGCTTGATATTGAGTAAGAACATGTTTTTATGAACCACACAGCTTCCGGTCTTCCACGACCAGACCGAGAAAAAGACGTGTTGCAGGCACGAAACACATTACCAATAGAAATACATTGCTTTTAAAATCGTTCTGTGTGACACGAAAATAAGGGGATAATCGTGGTGGTGCACACGAATCAATAGATTAAATAACGTGACTATAACACGAAATGCCGTGAGACTGGGTTGGTCCTCAACGTGAGCTCAGTCATCCAAGATCTTGTATTCGCCAAGATGTTACACTATCTATAACTATATATCTGTCTATCTCTCTCTCTCTCTCTATCTATCTATCAATATATCTATCTATCTATCTATCTCTCTATCTATAAGGAACCGCAGTAGACAAAAGGCGTTGCTATAGCAACACGTCATGTTTACGCTGCATTTTCTATGAGGTAAATATTACCCACTGGCGGATATAGGTATAAATGGCAAATTTTTGGGCGATTTTTTCAATCTGACTTCATATTGACAATTTTTAACAACAGAGGGTGCTACATAACACACTTTCAGGAAAAGTCACGGACTGGGAGACTTTAATATTTTATTGAAAAAAAGTTACATACAATCAAAAAACAGCTGCGGGTAAAATTTACCCGTTGGCGGTTCTAGTGTTAAATAGTTATTAGTTACCCTGAATATTTCTTCTCCCGTAGTATGGCTTTCCATTTCTTTGCAAAAGAAAAACATCTCTTTGATAGAGTCAGCATCAACATATCTGACGTTTGCCAGAAGTTGGGCAGCCCCACTTATGTCAGTAGATTCGTCTATTTGTAGGGAAAATCTGCCGCTCGCCTGCAGTGCCATAAGACAGGTAACTTTCATGATACTGTCTGCTGACAGTTTTTTTCCTCTTTTCTTTCGGTGGTGGGTTGTCGGCAGTCTCTGCACTGGTGGTTGGTGGTTTGCTCCGCACAAGAAATCGCTCCATTTTCCCTCTTGCGTGTTTCTCTGTTTTAATGTTGTCCTTCAGCCTTCGATGTGACACGGTCTTATAATTCCCACCTGCAACTGCGTTAACAGCGAAATATGGGGTTCTGTGAGGATTTTTTTTTAAAGAATTGTTTTTAGGTATAGAGTTTGCCTCTGTATTATGAAATGAGTGCATACAAAGTACTGATATAGTAAATAAAAAAATAATTATTTTTGTGTAGTTGTATATTGCAATAATAACGTATGGTTGTCACAAAATCCCACGGCACACCCGGACTTGCCTCACGGCACACCAGTGTGCCGCGGCACACCGTTTGGGAACCACTGCGCTAACTAACCGAACTGTACCTACAACTGTTGTTATAGAAGAGTAAGTTATTTTTACCTGTAATAAACTACTACTGTTTGATGAGAAATCAAATCATGGTTTGCTATATATGAATGATATGTTATAGGAGCAAATAATTCAGGGAAGAAAGGATAGGCCTACTAAGTATTTCCATCAAACTTTATTTTTAGAAATGTACAAAATGAACATGCGTAAATATACATATATACACTGTATATCATCCATTCCTCCCCTTATAGACGTTTTCGGCATCTTGCCTATCGCAGCTTTGTAAGCGGCTGCCGGGGCTTTTTAGGACGAGGCATCAGAGTGGGTCATCCCGTGTGTGTGTTGTTTAGCTATGTAGCATACACGCTATGAACGGTAGCTTGGTAGCATACACGCCAGGAACGCCAACTATAATGTACTGACCGTACGGTAAATCACCCGGAGTATACTGTCTATGAGTATTTCGTGTGTGAATGCAGACATTCTCCTGCTATGAGATACATGTATGTAAGGCCATCTGCTGATATTAGAGTTGATATATGGAAACGCTAGCAACTTAGTTAGCACAGTGTCAATGGCTTAGCAGTCCGACACACGTTTACACATTTAAACAGTCGTGGTAGATACCTTGTTTGGGAGACATTCCTAACGAAATGAAGTGCCAATCACAAAATATTATTGAAACTTAGTCGTTTTATGTTCGTCAGCTTGCCAGCTGGATTACAATGCTAACCTACGTTTGCTAGTTGTTCAGTGTAATATGCTATAGGCTACTATACTATACTATACTATACTATCAACAACAGATAGTGGTTCATATTAGGCTATCAAGAACATGTTTACAATTGCAATCTTATACGGGTAGTCTGCTACATTCATTGTAGCTGGCATAACAACGTTTTCCCAAGCAAACTCATGTCTAGCTCCGTTGTTTAGCTCGGTAGCATACACGCTAGGAACGCCAGCTATAATGTAATTACGTTTCGCGACTGACCGTACGGTAAATCACCCGGAGTATACTGTCTATCAGAGGTGGGGACTCGAGTCACATGACTTGACTCAAGTCAGACTCGAGTCCCATATTTTTTGACTTGAGACTTGCTTGACTAACATTGATAAAAGACTTGACTTGACTTTGACTTGGTATTCATGACTTGAGACTTGACTTAAGCTTGAGACAGATGACTTGAAAGGACTTGACTGTTTAAAATTAAATATTTGCGTTTGTTTTTGTAGTGAGATATTACGTTTAGTTTTTTCAAAAAACGTGATTGGGTGATTATAGCGCAGTGCGCGCAAACCTGGCAACCCACTACGGCAGGAGTGTCAGTTAACATGGCAGCGGCTAGCGTTACTCCAAAAATAGTGAAGTTTGGATTCAAGGATTATGTTGTCGATGACGCTAATAAGAAGAGAACAGTGGTATGAAGGGTCTGCAGCATAAAGATCAGTGACACGACCACCACAACATCCAACTTCATTCGTCACTACAAAAAACCCACAGAGAAAGGTGCGTGAATGTGTTGTGTTAGCTAGAAAGCTAACGTTAAGTTTAAGCTACGTTAGACTTGGTTTCAAATCGATTAAGCATTGCAAAGAGAAGACAAAACGGTAAATGAACACTAGAACCTCCAAGGGATTCATTTTGACTAACCCCGATACTGACGGGCTGTCATTTCCCCTGTGTTATCAGAAGTTACTGTAATCTGTTGAATAATGTAGTTCATCTACTTTTAGTAGT